TCAAATCAAAAGCTTCTGAAGTTTGTTCTGTCAAAAGTACTGGCCCTCCTGATGAAGGAGATGATGAAGAGGAAACCCAGGAGAGAGCACAGAGTGCAATGTCAGCCAAAACTGCAAAGTCAACTATTTCTGCCAAATCTACGAAGTCAAATGGACCCAATGATCCAGCTGAGGAAAATATATCTGATCATGAGGAGCATGCAGAGAGAGCTCCAAGCAATTTGTCAGTAAGATCAGCAAAATCAGCAAAGTCAAATGTTTCTGCAACATCAAGAAGATCCAAAGTTTCAGAACTTGGCTTGGAAGATACAGTTGAGAATCCTGAGGAAAGAGTTGTTGAAGGGGAGAGTGAAGGGAGAGCAATGAGCTCAAGGTCTGTACAGTCAGTTCAATCAAATACTTCTACAAGGTCAAATAAGTCAAAATGTTCTGCCTGTGCTCCACCTGAAGAAAGCTTTGAGAGCGCTGATGAAGGAAACGACAAAGAACAAATTGAACAGCGAGCACCAAGCAGCATGTCAGCCAAATCAGTCCAGTCACATGTTTCTGAAATATCTATAAAGTCTGCAGAGAGAGCACCAAGTGCTTTGTCAGCTAAATCAGCAAAGTCAGCAAAGTCACATGCTTCTACAAAATCTGTCAAATCAAAAGCTTCTGAAGTTTGTTCTGTCAAAAGTACTGGCCCTCCTGATGAAGGAGATGATGAAGAGGAAACCCAGGAGAGAGCACAGAGTGCAATGTCAGCCAAAACTGCAAAGTCAACTATTTCTGCCAAATCTACAAAGTCAAATGGAACCAGTGATCCAGCTGAGGAAAATATATCTGATCATGAGGAGCATGCAGAGAGAGCTCCAAGCAATTTGTCAGTAAGATCAGCAAAATCAGCAAAGTCAAATGTTTCTGCAACATCAAGAAGATCCAAAGTTTCAGAACTTGGCTTGGAAGATACAGTTGAGAATCCTGAGGAAAGAGTTGTTGAAGGGGAGAGTGAAGGGAGAGCAATGAGCTCAAGGTCTGTACAGTCAGTTCAATCAAATACTTCTACAAGGTCAAATAAGTCAAAATGTTCTGCCTGTGCTCCACCTGAAGAAAGCTTTGAGAGCGCTGATGAAGGAAACGACAAAGAACAAATTGAACAGCGAGCACCAAGCAGCATGTCAGCCAAATCAGTCCAGTCACATGTTTCTGAAATATCTATAAAGTCTGCAGAGAGAGCACCAAGTGCTTTGTCAGCTAAATCAGCAAAGTCAGCAAAGTCACATGCTTCTACAAAATCTGTCAAATCAAAAGCTTCTGAAGTTTGTTCTGTCAAAAGTACTGGCCCTCCTGATGAAGGAGATGATGAAGAGGAAACCCAAGAGAGAGCACAGAGTGCAATGTCAGCCAAAACTGCAAAGTCAACTATTTCTGCCAAATCTACTAAGTCAAAAGGACTCGATGGTCCAGCTGAGGAAAATATATCCGATCATGAAGAACATGCAGAGAGATCTCCAAGCACTTTGTCAGTAAGATCAGCAAAATCAGCGAGGACAAATGTTTCTGCAACATCTAGAAGATCCAAAGTTTCAGAACTTTGCTTGGAAGATGCACTTGACAATCCTGAGGAAAGAGTTGTTGAAGGGGAGAGTGAAGGGAGAGCAATGAGCTCAAGGTCTGTCCAGTCAGTTAAGTCTAATAAATCTGCAAGGTCAAATAAGTCGAAATGTTCTGCACATGTTCCAGCTGAAGAAAGCTTTGAGAGCGCTGATGAAGGAAATGACAACGAACAAACTGAAGAGCGAGCACCAAGCAGCATGTCGGTCAAATCAGTCCATTCACTTGTTTCTGAAATATCTAAAAAGTCTGCAGAGAGAGCACCAAGTGCTTTGTCAGCTAAATCAGCGAAGTCATGCACTTCTACAAAATCTATCAAATCAAAAGCTTCTGAAGTTTGTTCTGTCAAAAGTACTGGCCCTCCTGATGAAGGAGATGATGAAGAGGAAACCCAAGAGAGAGCACAGAGTGCAATGTCAGCCAAAACTGCAAACTCAACTGTTTCTGCCAAATCTACGAAGTCAAAAGGACCCGATGATCCAGCTGAGGAAAATATATCTGATCATGAGGAACATGAAGACAGAGCTCCAAGTAATTTGTCAGTAAGATCAGCAAAATCAACAAAGTCAAGTATTTCAGCCGTGTCCAAGAAATCAAAAGCCTCTGGCATTTCTACTGACCATGTTGCTGATTCGCCTGAAAAGGCAAATGAAGAGGAGGTCAGTGAAAGCAGACCAGCAAGTTCAGTGTCAGTCCATTCAGTCAAGTCAAAGGTTTCTGAAAGATCAACTAGGTCAAAATGTTCAGCTGATGTTTCAGTTGAAGAAAACATCACCAGACCTAAGTCACATGCTTCCACAGTATCTATAAAATCAAATACATCTAAAATTCCTCCTGATTCTAATTCTCCTGACGGGAGCAAGGATGAGGAAGACAGACCAGAGAGTGCATTGTCTGTGAAGTCCATCAAGTCACATATTTCTGCCAGATCCAAAAAGTCAGAATGTTCTGATGTTCCAGCTGATGAAAGGTGTGAGAGCCCATGTGAAGAAAATGATAAAGAGCAAACTGAGGAAAGAGCAGCAAGCTGCATTTCACTCAGATCAGTTCATTCTCATGTTTCTGAAAGATCTGTTAAGTCACAGGCCTCCATTGTTACAACTGATGATGAAGCTGAACTTGAGGAAACTACAAAGAGAGCCCCTAGTGCCCTGTCAGCTAAATCAGCAAAATCGCATGCTTCGGCAAAATCTAGAAAATCAAATGCTTCTGAAGTTTGTTCTGTTGAAACTACTGGCATCTCTGATGAAGGGAATGAAAAGGAGGAAGCTCAAATGAGACCACAGAGTGCAACATCAGCCAAATCCACACAGTCAGCCATGTCTGTAAAATCAAGTAAGTCAAAAGTCTGTGAAGTTTCTTCAGAAGAAAACGCATCAAATGATGAAGAAACTGCACAAAGACCACCAAGCACCCTGTCAGCTAGATCAGCCAGATCTGCCAAATCAACACAGTCACATATTTCTGCAAAGTCTAGTACATCAAAAGCCTCTAATACTCAAAGGGAAGAGACTCAAGAGGATACGACAGAGCGAGCACCAAGCAGTGCCTCTGTCAAATCAGCGAAATCTAGAATGTCAAATGCCTCAACCGTATCAAGGAAATCAAAAGCTGTTGAAGATGGCGCTAACATTGCTGATGAAAACACTGAAGAAGACACAGAGGAGAGAGCAATGAGCTCAGTGTCTGCCAAATCAGTGAGGTCAAATGTAACATCAGTATCTACAAAATCAAAAGCTTCTCACGATCCTCAAAATGTAAACAATGAAGAGGATGGTGGAAATGAAGCTGAAGAAAGTGTGGCTGATTGTGAGGAAACTGAAGAGAGGGCACCAAGCACCATGTCAATCCAATCATTAAAGTCAGATCTGTCTCAGAAGTCCAGGAAATCAAAAGTTTCAGAAAGGACAGCTGAAACACACGGTGAAGAGGCAGATCAAACTGAGAGGACTCCAAGTGTTTTGTCAGTAAAAACAAATGTTTCGTCGAGAACCACAAAGTCAAACGTATCTGAAATTAGTGAAAGGACTGATGTAAGAACAAGAAGTGCAATGTCAACAAAATCAGCTAAATCAAATCAATCGACAAAATCAAACAAACTAATAGCTTCTGAAATCCCTACTATAGAAAGTTCGGAAACTCCTAATGAAGAAAATGCTGAAGAGAAATCGGAGAGAGCTCCAAGTGCCAAGTCAGCAAGGTCAAAAACATCAGTGAGATCAAAGAAATCCAAAGTATCTGATGTTCCTGCTGATGAAAACGAAGAGAGAACACTTAGCCCCGTGTCAGTAAAATCCAGTCGATCCAAAATATCGGGCATGTCTGAAATCCCTGCTCTGACAGTTGAGGAAAGTGAGGACAGAGTACCTTCAGCCATGTCATCAAAGTCTAAGGTTTCAGCACGTTCAAATAAGTCAAAGGCATCTGAGGTTAAAGACAAGAAAAGCGAAGGGCGGCCAAAAAGTTCTTTATCTGTCAAGTCAAATCTGTCCGTGAAATCTCGAAAATCCAGAGCAACTGATATTTCAATAGGAGAAATTGTGGAAAATAACGAGGAGTCTGTTCATGTTCCTCCTGATGAGAACACCAGTGTTTCTTCTGTAACTGTAGGGGAAGATGTGAATCCTGAAGATGAGAGTAAACCCATGACTAGTTTGCATGAGGAAGAGACACAAGATGCAGACGATCAAGATACAAAACATGCAATTCCAGAACCTATTACTAAAATTGAGTCCGTTGCAAAATCTGCTGTGTCAGAAACCTGTCGAAGTGCACAACAACCAAAAGGAGATAAACATGGCATATGTCACACAGACTCAAATGAAAGTGGTATGTCACAAACTCTGTCCACTTCAGATGTTCCTAAAGAGACGTGTGAGACTCACGCCACTGAAGAATCAAAATCTGATGAGTCTAAGAGGATGACAAATGGTCCACTGGAAGCTGCAGCCACCGGTCGGAGTGTCAAGGATAACAAAAGTGACAAAAGCAGCAAGCGCAGACACAAAAACACAAACACTGACAACGTCGAGCTGGTCCCATCTAGCCTTCCAAATGCATCCCCCACTGAGGTTGTGAGTGAATGGCTGAATTCAATACCAGCAGAGAGTGATATGTATAACATGGAGGAATTTCATGAAAACTGTGAGGGACAGAAAACTGGTCACACAATGGAGGAAATTAACAGAATGGAGAATACTGAAACACACGACTCTGCAGCTGAGGGTACAAAAGACACAAATGAAGGAGTTGTAATGAACAGTGCCCCTAATGATGACTGCCAAGCGAGCACAGAGGCCCCAAATGCAGATAATGCCTGTACTCAGAGAGACGATGCTTCAAAGATATTCAACTCGTCAGTACAGGTGATGAAAGTTCTTTTAAATCCAAAGCTGGACAGATGCAACAGTTTACCGGAAATCTCTCCAGTGTATGGACGTAAACTAAGCACTTCAGCTAGGGGTCTTCTGGATTGCCTTGTGAAGTTGCAGTTAATAGACCATAATCCTAAAAATGCAAACGAAAAGGATGAACGATACCAAGAGCTAATGAATATTCTTCAATCTCTTTGGCTTTGTGATCCTCCAAAAAACGAACGTGTGTTAAAGAAGGGTGATCGCCGTTCTGTGGACGATGAATTCAATCATACGTCGTCCTCTGGTGTGGATGTCAGCAGTGGCTCTACGGGCTCTGGGAACAGTAGTGATGGCGTAAAGGGTAATGTGTCTAAACCACATACAAGTGCAGATGCGTTAAGGAGAGTACAAGAAGTCTGTGAGGTTGAAGCAGAAGCTCAATGGACATCTGAGAGAGAAGTAGAAGGAATGTATGAGGAAAAACAAAAGGAAGATGATCCAGCAACAGATGAAACAATTGAAGGCGATAGTCCAACAGAACTACCTGAAACACCACCCTCCTCAAACGTGAGTTCAGGAAATGGCAGTAAAATTACGTCTCAGGATCCTGATCCTGTTTGGGTCTTATCCCTATTAACTAAAATAGAAAAGCAGTTCATGACACATTACATCAACGCAATGAGTGAGTTCAAAGTCCGGTGGAACCTGGATAATAACGAGCAGCTTGACATGATGATAAACGAACTGAAAAGTGAGGTCCAAAAAAGAATCCAAAGAAGTATAAACCGGGAACTGAGGAAAATTCAGGCTCAAGCAGGCCTACCAAGACCTCCTAAAGACGCAATGTCCCGTGCTTCAACCACACAAACAGATGAGAGAAGACGGAGACTGAAGATTATGCTCAAACAATCAGTTGATCCCCAAGCAGAAAAAAGTGACGATTCAGCAACAGGCACGTCTTACAGTGACCAGCGGAGTGAAAACGATGATGAATACTGTCCATGTGAAACGTGCGTTAAGAAGAAAATGACGTCAAGGCGGCCACTTCCTGCAGAAGTTATGAATATTGCACCTGTTGCTGTAGAATTTGACCTGAAGAGGATTCTGGTGATGAAGAATGGTGGTCCTGGCAATACACAGGCAATCAACTGTGCTCACGCTGAAAATGACACTGAAACAAGAGCAGCAGAAACACTTGTAGAAGCAGTTATTGTCAAAGCTGTAACTGAAGTGGAAAGGGATGAAGTATGTCATCATACTGAGGATGTGTGTCAAGATGCAGGTCAAGAAGATGAGCCTGAAAACAAAGATACGGAAGATGCCATCCAAGAATTGACTGAACAGACTGTTGCTGAGGAAACAGTGAAGGCCTTGTCTATAGATAATACTGAGGCAATAAGCAAAACAGAAGATGAAATGGCAGAAAATGAGAGTGGAGACATAGGCACGGTAGAGGATGAATCCATGATAGAGGACGCAGGCACAGCTGAACTGAAGAAGGCAGATGACAATGATGAGGAATTGTCGGAGGAACCTGCAGAAGGAGCAGAGGTTGATGTAGAAAGTCAGACTGCTGTGGATGAGTCCAAAGAAGAGACTGCTGAAGCCACCACTGCTGAAGATGAAAACACACAAGAAGAGGATGACGAGGCAGTCACAACTAAAGATGAAAATGACAAAGACGAGGCTGTGGAAGCAGAGATGGTTGATAATGATGAAGAGATTCCTGCCGTGAGTGCAGATGAGTCTGCAGATGAGAATAATGGCACAGTCACAGCTGAAGATGAGATTGCTGCAGACAAAGAGATTGCTGTCACAAGTGAAGATGAACTTGAGGAGGAGGCTTCTGAAGCTCCCACAGCCGAAGATGAAAATGCAGCAGTAGAATCCACTGTGGCAGCTACAAGTGAACATGAATCTGACAAAGGTGAGGCTGTGGAAGAAGGGACAGTCGATGAAGAAGAGGAGATTGCTGCCACAAGTGCAGATGAGAACGATGACACAGCCACAGCTGATGAATTAGCAAAAGAAGCTGCTGAAGAAGCAAGTGAAGATGAGATGGCTGTAGAAAAAGAGACAGGCGAAGACGAGTCAAAGGATGAGACTGCCGAAGATGAAATTACAGCAGACGAGGCCACTGTGGCTGCAGCAACTGAGCAGGAATCAGACAAAGATGAGGCAGTGGAAGAAGGGACAGCTGATGATGAAGAGATCGCTGCCACCAGTGATGATGACCTGGAGGAAGAGGCTGCTAAAGCCACCGCAGCTGAAGATGAAAATGCAGCAGAAAAGGCTGACGTGACATCTGCAGGTGAACATGAATCTGACAAAGACGAGGCTGTGGAGGAGGGGACAGTTGATGAAGAAGAGGAGATTGCTGCCACGAGTGCAGATGAGAACGATGACATAGCTACAGCTGGTGAGTCATCAAAAGAACCAGCTGAAGAAGCAGAAACCGAAGATGATATGGCTGTAGACAAGGAATGTGTTGTCACAGATGACGATGAATCAAAGGACGAGACCGCTGAAGACGAAACTCCAGCAGAGGAGACTGCCGTAGCAGAGTTAACCGACCATGAATCAGACAAAGATGAAGCAGTGGAAGAAGGGACAGCTGATGATGAAGAAATTGCTGCCACTAGTGAAGATGAACTAAAGGAAGAGGCCGCTAAAGCCACCGCAGCCTAAGAAGAGGCTGATGCGACTTCCACAGGTGGACATGAATCCAGCAAAGACGTGGCTGTGGAAGAAGAGATGGTTGATGATGAAGAGGAGATTGCTACCACAAGTGCAAATGATTCTGCAGATGAGAACGATGATGAATTGTCAAAAGAACCAGCTGAAGAAGGAACTGAAGATGAGCTGGCTGTAGAAAAGCAGATCACAACTGCAGATGAATCAAAGGAAGAGGATGCTGAAGATGACGTTGAAGCTGAAGAGACTGCTGTGTCAGCAACAACTGAAAATGAATCTGATGACGAAGAAGCTGTGGAAGAAGACATTCCAGCCACCACTGCTGACGAGTCTGCAGATGAGAACGATGATACAGCCACAGATGAAAAAAAAGAAAGTGACGATGAGGTTGCTGTAGAAAAGGAGACTGCTGTCACAACTGAAGATGAATCGAATGAAGATGCTGCTGAAGCCACCACAGCTGAAGATGAAAACATGGCAGACACAACAGAACATGAATCTGAACAGGAAGAGGCTGCGGTAGCATCGGCAGCTGAAGACGTGGAAGAGACGGCTGCCACCAGCGATGATGATTCTGCAGAGAGTTTGGATGGCACCACAAATGAAGATGAGGCCGCAGAGGAGAATGAACCAGCTGTGGAAGCAGCAAGTGAAGATGAGCTTGTTGTGGAAAAGGAGATTGCCGGTACAAGTATGGACGAACTTAAGGAAGAGGCTGCTGAAGCCACGGCTGCTGAAGATGAAAATGTGGCAGACACAACTGAACATGAATCTGAACATGAAGAGGCTGTAGAGGAAGGGACAGCCGACGATGACGAGGAGATTCCTGCCATGAGTGCGGATGAGTCTGCAGATGAGAACGACGACACAACCACAGCTGATGAATCATCAAAAGAACCAGTTGAACAGGCAACAACTGAAGAAGAGATGGCTGTTGAAATAAAGGCTGAATCAAATGAAAATGAAACTGCAGCAGAAGACACTGCTGTGGCAGCCACAACTGAAAATGAATCCGACAAAGATGGAGAAGAGACTGCTGCCACCAGTGATGATGATTCAGCAGAAGATGCCACCACAAATGAAGATGAGACTGCAGAGGAGAGTCATGTCACAGGTGATGAACTGTCAATGAAACCAGCTGAAGCAGCAACAGCCGAAGAGGATGCGACAGAAAAAGAGGCAAGTGTCGCAAGTGAAGACGAATCAAAGGAACAGACTGCTGACGATGAAACCGAAGCAGAGGACGCTGCTGTGGAAGAAGAGTCAAAGGAAGAGCTTGCAGAAGCCACCAAAGTTGAAGAAAATACTGCAGAAGAGTCTGATGAGGCAGCCACAGCTGAGGGTGAATCTGGAGAGGATGAGGCTGCCGCGAACGATGAAGATGAAACTGCGGACAATGATAATGCAACAACGGCTGAAGATGAAAGTGCTGTTGAAAAAGAACATGAAGCTAAAGATGACAGTGTTGACGAACAGGCAGATGTTGAAGCTACATCTGAACATGAATCGGACGAAGATGCAGCTGTGGAAGCCACCAGTGCAGATGAGTCCGAGTCAGATGAGAGGGAAAAAGCTGGCAAAGCAATAAGTGAAGATGAAGCTGCTGAAGAAAAAGAGATTGCTGCCACAAGTGAAGATGAAAAGGAGGAAGAAGCTGGTGAAGAGGAAAACACTGCAGAAGATGTGGCAGCTACAAGTGAACATGAATCGGACAAAGATGAGGCTGTGGCAGCCACCAGTGCAGATGAGTCTGAGCCAGATGAGAAGGAGACAACTGACAAAGCAACAAGTGAAGATGAGGAAAAAGAGATTGCTGCCACAAGTGAAGATGAAATGAAGGAAGAAGCTGGTGAAGAGGAACATGAATCTGACAAAGAGGAAGCTGTGGAGGAAACTGCTGCTAGCACTGAAGATGATTCTGCAGAAGACATGGATGCCACCACAAATGATGAAGCTACAGAGGAAAACGACAACACAACCAAAGCTGACGAACTGTCAAAAGAACCCTCGGAAGCATCAACAACTGATGATGAGGTTGCTGTGGAAAAAGAGGCTGCCACCACAGATGAGGAGGACGCCAAGGAGGAGACTGTCGAGGGAGCTACAGCCACAGAAAAAGAAAATTCAGATGAAGAGGAAATCAGTAAAGCTGATGATGAATCAAAGGAGGAGGTGGAGGAAACCACAAATGAACAACTTGTGGAAAAGGATGATAATGTGGAATCTGATCCTGAATCAGCAGGTGATGAAAGCTCCAAAGCTGCGACTGAAAATGAATCAGAGGAAGAGGACGATGAATCGGCCACAGATGGGAATGAAACAGTAACCAACGCGACAACAGATGCAAATGAGACTGCAGCAGAGGAGGATTCTTCAGAAGTTGCAAATGATAATGAATCAGGAGAAGAGTGTGTAGAAACAAAGCCTGAGACTGAAAATGAAAGTGCAGGAGAAGATGAAAATGCAGATGAGGATAAAGTGGATGAAAATAAGACTTCAAGTGAGGCAGAGGATGTTGAGGTAGCATCTGCCGAAGAGCTTCACGGCACAGAATCATCTGAGAAAATTGCAGAAAGCAGGGCCGCCGAAGATGTTGTAAAAGAGGAAGAAAAAGATGGAGATGATAATGGATCTCACAATGAAGAACAAGAAGAAGGTATAACAACTGGTGAGGAAGAGGCTGAAAATGATGGAGACGAATCTGCGGAAAATGAAAGTACTAAGGAGCATGGAGCAACAGGTGAAGACTGCACAGAAGCTGCAACAACAGGAAATGAATGTGAAGAACATGAAACAAATGACGAATCTGAAAAGCCTGAAAGTGACGGTGGAGAGGAGTCTGGAACAGAAGGTGCATCTACAGGAGAAGCCCAAACAGGAAAGGAAGAATCCATCGATAACTCAGAAGATGAATCTGCAGATAACAAACTGTCAGCTGTAGAAGAAGAAAATGACATGACAGATGATCGAGAAGATGCCATCACCGAAACAAATGATGAAACAGAAGGGGCAGATGACGTGGTGGAGCTGAAGCCAGATAAGGAAGATGAAGTGGAGGACATCTCGGAAAACAAAGCAGTGGAAGATGAAGGTAACGATGAACAGCAAACAAGTGTAACACAATGTGAACGCATCAACATCACAAATGGAAGCCATGATAATGACGAAGATGTCGAAGCCTCCGAAAAAGAAGAAGAGGAGGAGGAAACTTCAAAGACAACCAATGAAGACTGGGGAGAACACCACGGAGATTCGGCCGATGGAGAAGACGAAGCAGAGGAAGATTCAGACGAAGCAGATGACGGAGAGCAAGATTTTACTCCGAGCAAGATGGAGAATCGAGAGATGCCAAAAAAAGCAGCTGAGAAAACAACACCAATCACACTTGATGCTCTGAGCAAAGTGAAGGCAGAATCTGAGGATGGCACTTACGCGGATGTTGAAGATTCTGAGACTGACGTAAACACCCAGGAAGAAGTTTCAAGCCTCGAATTAAAGACTTCGAAGACGATTTCGTAATAAGATGACTGTGACTCTGCAAAGACTAAAAGGAGGAGAAGACAGCAGCTGCAAGTAATGAGCAGTCTGAAGTCATTCTTGTTTTAGTCAAACCCTCGGGTCTTCCAGAAGAGACCAAACAAGAACTTTAAAGCAAAAAAAAGCAGAATGATTGATCTAGATGATTAGATCTTATTATATATTCGCTAAAGAAACACAAGCACTTTGAAGCAGCATCTCTGCTGCTGGGACTGAGCTCATGCACAGCTACTGATCATGCACTTGCATGTAAAAGGAATCATAAAACTTGAATGTATATACATACTTATAAATACATACTGTATGTAGGAGGTTTGCACAGTTTTAATGCAAAACTAAATGGGATTTATTTTCATTATAGTGTTTGTTACATGCTAACTACTGGAACTCCGAGCCTCAGACAGACACTCGGCACCAGTGGCAAAATAAGCTTTATGGACTGTTACATTTATGATTTAAAGAATGTCATACATGCACATGTACTGTAGTGTTTCTTCAAATTACTGCAGTGTACTTACACTACTTTCCTTGCAGGATTAAGCAAGTCTCTGACTGTATTTAAACTTATCCAAAGTATTCTTTGAAGAGTTTTGGCTCCAAAGTTAAAATTAAAGGTATATATTTTTCTAGTTAATATTTCTGGACAGCCAGAAACTGTTGATAATATTCATTTTGAATGTTTAATGTACTAATATGCAGATACAATACTGTTGATCTAAAGAACAAACTGGATGATGATGATTAACATCAGCATCTTCACAGTTCCATCAGGTAACTGCTTTATAGCTTTAATTGACTTCTGTAGCAGCTGAACCAGAACATGTCAGGGTTTTCTGTATCACGACGATATGTTCTGTATTTTAGCAATTCAGCAGTGTTTATCAGTAAGAAAATACACTATTCTCTGTGGCACAGAGGTTACTACCTTTGCTGAATGTACTGTATTTATTGTCTCTGAAATAAAAAGTACTTTGAAGTCATTTTTGTTATTCTTTTGTGAGACAATTCAAATTTTAAATAGAAATCAAAACTGTGATATTGATGTTTCACACACCAAACCCACCATTCATGGAAAAAAATACGTATTGCGCTTAGATGGAGACACTAAGGGTGCTTTCAGACCGATAGTTCACTTGTTCTGGTCCAAATCAGGGACTAGTTTTGTTGCATAATTGCCTAGAGTTGGTTTGTGTTCTTTAAAGTATGTATACAATTCCATATAACACAAATTACCAATATTGATACTACAACTGTTAATCAACATTGTCGTTCAGAGAGATTTTCTGCACCCTACATTACTAAAAATCAATTAGTTTGTTGGTAATGATGGGTTGTTTTTGGGGGGTTTATAAGATACTTAAAAACATTACACATATCACACACAGGTATAATCAGCTCCTGTGGAGAGGTATGGTGAATGCGTGCATGAGTCTGTCTATTGAGACTTCATTCACTCTCCTGCTGTGAGCGCCATTACACCCAGCTGATGGATGTGCCTCGCTCAGAGTTTCCATTCGCAGTCTCCTGTGGTCATGTGACTTACATAATTGGTGTCACTCTGATTGACTGCATAACACCACAGGTCACTCTTCTCAAACCTTACTGAGACAAGGAGACATCGTGCAGCCTCTGAAGTCCTTTTCACTGCAGGCGCTGTCTGCGTGCAACAGTACTTTTGGGATGTATGCTTAATTCACGTCACACCAATGTTTACAAGGGAGGTTACAAGGTTGTATTTAGCTAAGCTTTGCACAAACACTGAAGGGGAAACACTGTCCGTAGAAATGAAGCTTCATGAAACAAGAGGGAGTTTAGTAAGGAAAGAGAATTTCTAGCCAGCTCTTTTCAAGGGCTGCCCCTTGAAAGTCGGAGATTGAGATCATCAGTCGGAGACCCCTCAGTCGACAGAGTCCCATAAGTCAAGCAGTTGTCTTTTTTTTTTTTTTTTTTTTTGGTAGTCTGTGTGCTGTGCAGTCTTCTGGAGATGTTTTGGTCCCCAGATTCTGCTGCAGAGTGAGCGCTCTTGACGTCACACTACTCAAAACTAGCTGGAGAGTGCAGGAGGTGTTAATCAGACATACAAGAAGTCTAATCAGGGCACTTCAGTGGAAACACCTGTGTGTTGGAGCATGGGAGTGTGCAGGCTTTACAGAAGTTAGCTTTTTTGTTCTCTCGGCATTAGGGATAGTCTGACACATTCATATGAAAGTAAGTCTGATGTGAGTGTAATGTGACATTGTTCCTCAAGGAGGAAATGTGATTAACAGGACTAACTAATATCCGTCATACCAGTACATGATGGAAAATTCCTAAATAAAAAACTGATACTATTCCTCTAATCAATATTTATCTTTACCTCTTTCATGTAATAATGCTGCATTAATGTTTGAGTTAGTGAGATGACTTTAATCCTCAAATCTTATGGAAAAGCACAGAGTTTTTTTTTCTTTCTGAGGAAGCACCTGCTTGCTGGCACAGAGTTATTTCCACGGTAAACACTGGAAGAGTGAGGAATGCCATCCGGAGCACAATAATAAGGGGCTTTCCCGCAGCCATGTTTACCTCAGAGTAACTTGCCTCTGGAACAGCTGCTCCCAACTGCAGATGTGCCTTTTAAACAGAGAGGGGGACAGGTATGGGGGGAAATTAAGTTTTTTGGTGCTTATTAAGATGATATGGCATAAAGAAACACAAATAACTTATAAGAGAATAAATAAATGTAGCAACTTAAAGGTGAAGTGCAGAACGTTTGTCTCCCCCCTCCGTGGCAGTGAGAGTGATTACATAAACACTGCCAATGTGCTTATGATGTATGCCTGCAGGTGAGCTTGCTGCATCTGCCTCGCCCCCAGGAGCACTCTCTTCTAGTCTTTTACTGCACTTAACCCTTCCTCTCAGAGTCAAGTTTATTTTTTTATCTGGAGCATCCATTCCAGGAACTTTTCTTGGATGCTTTTTAGGATTTTATGCCATAGCTCCTGCTATTACTACTACAGTGATTTTTACATTCTCCAATTGTAAATACGTCAAGCTGATTTTCACATTTTGTCAACTAAAATATACTTCATACCTCAAACCTTATGGCATAGCACCTTTTCCTCAACTTTTTTTTTTTTTTTTTTTTTTGCCAAACCTCATTAGCAGTGGATAGTCTTGAGTCTCCCTAGCTGTGGATTCCAAATCCAAAAAAGGAAACATCTTGGAGGAAAATAGAGAACTTTTCATGTGTGGAGAGATTTGTTTGCTTTCAATGCCAATGCTGCAACGTTAAAGTACCAAATAATCATAAAGAGCGCCCTAAATAGTAGCCACCTTCTGGTAAAACATATTAATGAATGCACATTTAGACCTATTACTAATATTGATAGGCTAATTAAGATTTAATAGGCTGTATTACCTGTATTATGAGACTACCTTATGCGACTCCATTTGCCACAGACATCCAATACCAAGACTTTGATATACTGAGAAATTCAGAGGGCTTTCCCCATCCGTGATAGGCTTAATTAGCATTGTGCTAACTCATTTGGCAAGGGCTTGAATCGAACAGACCTTTATGAATGTCCCGCGCTCCAGCTTTAAATATAGGTGCATAATTAGGGCTGTGTAGCCTATCATTTAAAAAAAGTAAAGTGATACTAATTCCAATAACAGACTTCTTTCCATACCCATAGTGTGAATAGAGTGGTGTCTAGTATAGCCATACCTTAAAACATTTTGGTGGCATCTCGGCACACAGAACGGCCAGCTCTGTCTAATGCATCCCGCTCGACTTCCCCACAACACAGACTGCATGGGTTGTAGTTGCTGCTGCAGGAGTGTGAGCTCCCCACCGGAACAAAATTATCTTCTTGGCCAGACACCACAGGGGGGTTAGTAAGAAAATATGTTTTTGTAATATGTTTAAACTGACCCTTTAACTTATTTTACTTTATATGGTGCTCTGATGAATCTGATTACATTAAGGATGAAATGATTTGGTTGTGATGTTACCTTTACAACGGTAGCCCAGTTTGATGACTCCCCACAGCAACAGGAAGAGAGACAAAACACATGTGATATTGCAGTTTGATTGGCCATTTGTATAACAAAACAAAAAACATACAGTGGATACTCAAAGCCTTCACAAGTCTCACAAATGTTGGCAGTTTATATGTGGTGTCATGGAAGTTATGTGCATTGAAGTTGAAGCCCAGCTTGGCACATATAGACATTCCCCTCATGAAGTAAGAGGTGATATCCTCACTGGTGATTTGTCCCTCCCTGGGAGAGTTCTGTTAGCTGAACTGTTAGCATCACACATCTGACGTTACTGTTATTAACAGGTTTAATGACAGTCAAGACATTTTGGTGTGAGTTTGTTGGGGACCGTTTTAACGGCTCAGTGTTGGATGTTAGCTGCTGCTGCTGTGTTAGCTCATGCTAACCAGGCAGACATCAAAATGAGCAACTCCAGATACCTGAGCAGAAAATTTCCTGATCCAGCTGAAAGTTGTGACGGTCTCGAATCAAACCCCTGGCGTAAAAAGAGATTTTATGCAGGTATCATTTGACTGGAGACATTTTGAAACTTTAAGTTGAGTATCGATATCCAGCCCTATATATAATATGTATCAAGCAGGAAGTCCTGCCAGTACAGTAAACCCCACAAATAAAGCCACAATACAGTTTCATCAGTGTGCTTGATGTCCGGTGACTAAAGAAGGAAAAGCAATAGGAAAAGTGAAGCTCTCCCAAAGCTCATGAGCATCCCAGAGGAAAAGCAGAAGTGCCTGTTGAATGCAAGGGGGAGTTCAATTGTTCCTTGTTTATTGACAATCACTTTGTCTTTTTAGAGCAAATGTAGGAGCGAGACCTTCTCTCACTCCATGTGTGACAGAGGATAGAAATGGTTCCCACACAGACAGGAAGTCAAAGAGGGGCCTCTTGTGATGTAGAGGGGGATCAAAATTGAGGAAAGTGTGTCCCTGTGTGTTGATTTGTGTGTGTGTGAATAAATCAAAGCTTTGATAAACAATGACCGAGCACTTACAATGCAGCTTTTAGCAACTATTACATCAATTTAACTTATATTTTTTACATAATGAATGTCCAGTTTGACCACACACACTCACACACATAAATCTAAAACATGCATATAAGCACATATTTTCAGTCACATGCAGTGCACACTCACACTTATGAAAGCGCTCATTGGCAGCGTGTATGCTTTTGGCCAGGACCGCGCTAGCAAAGGAGACCCACGCTCCCTTTCTTTCCCACCGTTGTTCAGGTTATCCTGTGGGACCACTTATGACCCTTCTGCAGGCAGGATGCAATGTCTGGGGACCCCAGCAGGGCTGTACACAAGCATCCGCCAAGCCCTGGGAAGAAAACAAGGGCTGATGGAAAACCAGAAGAAGGAGAGCATAAAGAGAAACAGCAGTTAGTAACCAGGACGCACTCAATAACACTCACCATGCACCTGCAGCCTGTGTGTGTGTGTGTGTGTGTGTGTGTGTGTGTGTGTTTGTGTGTATGTGTGTGTGCACTGAAGTGAGGTTGTTCCTTCAGAGAACTACAGCACAGCACAGTCCCCACACACAGCACAGGTGGTCCAAACAAAAACCTGTGAAGTGTTGCCCGGAGAGTAATATCCCCACGTTGCGTGTTGTATAAAGCCCCCCATAGGAAACAAACACTTCCGGTGCTGCAAGATTTATTGTTCCCCGCACTTATAGGTTACAACATACTCTGACTGATATCTTCCTCACAAGATTATTTGATACGACCTTAATAACATTTAATCGTCATTTAGCATACAAACCAGGAACAAAAGGGTCATAATTACCGCTAGATAACTCAAGGACATATTGTTTTGTGTTTATTGTTTCCATCGCAGAAGAAGAGGGGTGAATTCCCTCTACAGTGCATTGTGTGGGTGAGAATAGGAAAGACCTGGTTAACTGTGCTGTATGGTGTGAAAACCCAAAGCAT